AACTAAATATCTGTAAAACTTTTATTTATTTCAAGATCCTTTTCTTCTATTGTTGTTAGTCAAGGAAGTTTAGAAACTTGTTTTATTTAATTTTATTTTTGTTCATTGGTAGGTTAATTAATAAGAAAGTTTTTAATTTGTTATTTTGGCCTTGGTAAGAAAGACTCCATTTTGTAAATAACACAACACCTGTAAATAAATCATTATTTTCTTTTAAATTGTCATCCTGTTTGTGGCTGAGTGGTGCAGAAGATGGAACACCTTCATGTGATCATGTTACGTCCTGCTTACTCCTAGACAGTGCATAACACTATCAGTTTGCTTCTTTTAGCATTTAATGATTTATTTTTGAAAGTATCATTAAAATTAATCCAGCTGTTCATGAGAAATTTTGCTAACAGAGATAGAGCTGACCCCAGTAGTTAATGGCAATTTTAACAACACACAAACAGTTAGCTGAGATTTCATGGAGAATGCCGCATTTCAGATCAATATTGGAAAAACTGGCTGAGTTATAGCAATTTTTACATTAGCTAATGTTGATTACTTGTGGCAGCCATCTTGAATAGTGTTGACTGCAAACATTTCTTATAGATGTGCGATTACTTTTGGTTTGACCAATGCCTCACTGGTACCCCCCCCCCCCCCCCTCCACACACACACACACACACATACACACAAAGTAAAAACATTATCTCATTGACACTTGAAGTCATTGGGCAGTGGGCAGCTGTGGAAGAGTGGTTAGAGCAGTTATCCTTCAATGCGAGAGTTTGGGGTTCGATTCCATCAACAGTCACATGCTGAAGTGTCCCTGGGCAAGACAATGAACCACTCATTAGCTATGTTTACATGCGCAGAATTCTTTGACCGGATTGAAATGTGTTCTGTTTGAATAATTCAAATGTGTTGTTTACATGGGCACAATCTGTTCATGATGAGCGTTTACATGCAGCGGGCTTTGTTCTGAACAGCAGTACTGACATGCGCAGAGTGGTAAACTCTCCTTAAAAAAAACACCGAAGAAGAAGTTCTACTTCCGGGTGAACGTAAACAAACCTGAGCACCCAAAATGGACCCGCGACAGGTTTTAATGATGGTGGAGACGTTATTGCACTCCCTGACTGAGCTACAGGTAATAGAGATCATTTTGAGCTCTTTAAAAGTTTCTAGTAGAAATGTTGTCGCTCGCCAACCAGTTTTACTTCCCTGACATGCTAATATTATTAGCGTTAGCCAGGCGGAAATGGCAAAGTCGCACATGCGCAGTCAGGTCAGTTTTTCACCATCAGATAAAAACGAACAGATCAAGCGTTTACATGCGCACCGATCGGGTTTCGGATCGGCGTAAACCACCCGTTTCGTTCTGATCACAAATTATAACGGATCGCGCCGAATACACAAAAAATAACCCGAACGGAGTGTTTACATGACACACTTTTATTCCGACCGGCCATTTGATCCGGTTACTTATGTCCATGTAAACATACCCATTGCCTTTGATGTGTCCCATCAATGTATAAATGTGATCTAAAGCACTGATTAATCTTTGCAGAGAGATAGTCAGCAGCACGGCGGCTCAGTGGTTAGCACTGTTGCCTCACAGCAAGAAGGTCCTGGGTTCAATCCTAGGATGGCAGGGCCAGATTAACACTTCGCTGTACCCTGGGCAACAATCTAAAAGGGCCCCATCATCATGACCCCATCACCATAATCTGGCAAAATACAGAATAAATTACCATAATATACAGTAAATATACTTAAAATTCTAACTATCAAGTGTATTTTTATGTATAAAACTCCAAATGCTCATTGACACAAGTCTTCAAGACTGAATTAAGTTGAACGCACTTTGAACACCACATGACACCATATGTGTACTTGTTTAGTAACGTGTTGGCCACTGGTGTCAGAAGCATTTATAATGTGTGTGTGGGGGGACACACTGATGGGGGGGGTGGGGTCTGGAGGTCTTTCCTGCATTCTGGTGTATTTTAATGGTTGTTTAACATCTAGTTTTACCCACATAAGTAAACATTTGGAACACCTTGGGATTCCCCTGGAGGAGCTGGTCCAAGTGGTTGGGGAGAGGGAAGTCTGGGCCTCCATACTTAGGCTGCTACTCCTGTGGATGGATGGAAGTAAACACTTGATTCAGTAGCTATTTTAGAGTTAATGGCACAACAAGAAGTAGACTGACCAACAGCTGATTCAATTAATTAAAAATATTATACATTTAAAGGTGACAATTTGATGCCCACATTAAAACTAAATGCCTTTGAGCCGACTTCAAATGTAACAAGATTATCAATGAATGTTTAAGACAAAGTATTTACAGAGTATAACAAAGATCCCTTCAAGAAACCTCCTAATATAAATCATAAAACCATAATGACTTCTGCTCATTCTAAATTTGTCAAATGACCTAAATCTCTTAAAGTGAAGGACAATCATTTAAAAATAATAAATAAGATATATCCTGTAGCCATGTTTCTGCAAAGAATATTTAAATTTGATGTTGATTTGTGTGCCCTTTGTAAATCAGAAGATGAATCTCTCGAGCAGTTTTTATTTGAATGTCAATCTGGGGTCTGTTTGGTCAGACATCAGAAACTGGATTAATCTCAAACTTAACATTCCTTCTTTTCATGCTGATGCCATTTTACTTTATGTGGATAACTTAAGCTCAGCTTTCTCTGATGCCATAAATATAGCTGTAGCAAAGTACCACATTCACTGTAGTAAGAGGAGAGATAATAAGTCCTCCTTCGGGTTTAATGAACGATTTTAAGTCATACTATTCTTCATTAAGTAGATAAAAAATCTGCAAAACTGCTAAAATCATTTCACAACAGATACAAACTTATTGTTTTAATTAAAACAATGTTTCTCAAGGAAAACAAAACTGATGAGCTTGTCAGCAGGTAAGGGGCGTTTACCTTCGGGACAAATTGAGGTTGTCGACTGGTCAGTTACTGACACGCCTTCTGAGTTGATTGACAGGTCGCACCGTTGAGAATCTGATTGAAAAAAAAAAAACCAGAGCTGCAGCAGCCGCGCTGGGAGGAGGCAGGGCTGCTGAAATGCAGCGGAAGCGCAGCAGTCTCTCTGTGCAGTGCAGGGCTCCAAGTAAAGCAGGAGATAACCGGATATTTTGCTTGTGCCCTCACTGCCCTGGGCCCCTTAGAGATCATGGGCCCCTGGGCAGTTGCCCATATGATTAATCCGGCCTTGCCGGTTGGACATAGGGTCTTTCTGTGTGGAGTTTGCATGTTCTTCTCGTGCTTGCGTGGGTTTCTCTGGGTACTCCGGGTTCCTCCCACAGACCAAAAACATGCATGTTAGGCTGCCTTCAGGCCCTGGCCACTCTTGCAAAAGAGATCTGTGATCTCAATGGGATGTGTCTGGTTAAACAAAAGTTAATAATAATAAATAAATAGTATAGTGCAGTATGAATGGGTATATGAGGGCACATATTATGTTTAGAGTATCTTGATCATATAGAACGGCGCTAAATGAGTACAGTCCATTTACACTTTCATAAAAAGTTCCACAAAATGGCCACATAGACTAGTCCGTCTTTATGCTTCCTCTGGCCATACATAAATCACAGATGAAGCCAACCAAGTCCAGCACAGATACGAGCTTTCAGAAATGAAGCTGACAGTCAACCGTTTTGCCTCTGTTACTACCTCACTCTAAAGCAATGAGGTGCATGAGGGTGGGCCGCTTTCGACCAACCTTGCCACCTCGGTCCATTCAGAAGTCACACCGAGGCAGTCAGAAGGGATCTCAGTCCCAGAGTGAGGTGTCTTTTGAAAGAGTCTATTGACTTTTGGTCATGGACCATAAAAAGGTTGCTCCCACACAGAGTCCAATATAATTTTTATAAAAAGAGCATTTATTTCAAAGATTTTTTTTTCTGCTTCAGAGATTGAAGCACATTGTAAAGCAACAATACAATGTTCAGAAAATATAAGTGTGATGTAATATTTTTAAAATCTTTTTAACATGTTTTTTGTTGTAATACTGGAATATTCTGCATGTATACTAAAATAAGAAATTTTAAAATTGTACAAATCTGTACCATAAAACTTGACAGAGAATAAAAAGGAGGCATTCTCTCACTGCACCAAACACAGATTGCTAGTTTTCCTCTGGAACAGGGAGAAAGACTGAAACAACCCTGCCAAATGATAAAATAAAAAAATAAAATAAAAAAAGATAAAAATTATGACATAAAGCTGATGGTTTAACATTAGGCAGTGACATTCTTACAGCAGTCTATAAAAATGAAAACAAAATTTGATGCTTCAATGGTCAATGCTCAGAAAACTGTAAGAACATTAGAATATCGTCTGCAAAAAGTTAAACATCAGTTTATTACTGTGAAGCTGCAGCCAATAAAAGAACAATTACTGTTATAATAATCATGATAATAATAAAAGCAACACTAATAATCATAATAATATAATAACAATAAAAATAGATAGAACAAAAACCTATATGCTTGAAAAAGGATATTTTGTTTTTACCTTTCCTGGAACACCTTTTGTTCTTTTCCCCATGTGCACATTTGATGTTTTAATGGCAACATGTGTTGATACAACAGATGTTGCTGCCAACATACATGATTTTTGATAAATGATGGTTATACATGGAATTCATGGGGAAAAACACAAGCACATTCAGCTGATCTACAGGTAATATGCTGGAAGAAACAGAAACTCATTTTTGAAGAATGCTCGAGGCAAAGGTTGGATCCTCAGAGTGATATATCACGTCTTCTCTGTACACACAAGACAAGGAGAATACTTTTGTTTTTCCAATATACCTTTCAAATTACAAAAACAAACAAACAAAAAATAAAGATAAAGGAAAAATAAGGAAAATGCACTGCGCTGTAAGAGTGTCCATTAGGTTTAAGGCGATTTTAAGAGCTCACAAAATTCTACTCATTTTAATCAATGGTGGAACAGGGAGGCGGTCGTTCATGGGTTTGACTCGTTTGTAGAATGACTGCTAATGGTGGAAGTTCAGACACCAGGACTGTGATGAAGGACAGGTTTTCATTAAGCATCTTCTTTGCAGTGAGAAATGAAAACAAACAAAATCCACAGTTTTAAAACAGATTTCTTTTCAGGGTTTGTCTGTTTTCGGGAGTAGAAAAAATGTGACAATTCTCTAGCGTATTCACAGATACTCCTACAGTCTTTGTGTTTACTTGTCTGTGAAGCTACTGAAGCTAGTGGTCTCTATCTTCAGTCTTTTGTGTGTTTACCCCTGGAGTTGTTTAATTATTATAAGGCCACCATACTCTGAAGGTGCTCTAGGCATCTTCAGAGTATCAACAACCCAGAGTTGACTAACCCATCAAAATCAGAGTATCTGCTCTTTTCAACAACAAAACAACATATTTGACCTTTCTGAGACATCTTCAGTGTTTATGTCTCTAAGCAGGCAGTTGCCGGATCTCATTCAAACTTTGTCTGTTAATTTACTTTCATCTTACTCCTCCTTCTCTCCTTAGAGAGAGCAACAAAGCAAAACCTGCCCTGCTCAGGAACTGTGAAAGTAATAAAACCTCTCTGAGGAACTATTGAGGAAGTACATGAATCTAGTCCATAAAAGCATACAAAACCTCTTTTACACACAGTTTGCTATAGGCAAGTCTTACTGATGATAAAGCAACACTGTTTCCATCAAACTGCTTCCAGATGAACAAATTGGCGACATAACAAATCTCCCAGCCCTGCAAAAGAAACAGAGTAAAGGAACTAGACAAGAGAAACTTAAGGAAATTGGGAGCAGTTCAACTCTAAGCATTCATTATGTGTTCATTGACAAACTGACACAAAGTGCCAGCCACAGAGAGGGAGAGTCGTTAACGTTCGCTGACAAATTGGCATGAACTAATCAGTTGGAAGATGGTGACAACTGGAAACTGGAGAGAATTAACCCTTGATTAACATATCTTCTTGGAATCAATACATCAAGAATCAGGGGTGTCCATCGCTGAGGAAAACCGCTGTTAAGAGTCTTCATCGTCATCAGCATCATGAACAGAACCGTCTTTGGTCCCGTACAAATCTGCCAGCTTCTTAAACCTTGGCCCCCAACTTTGCAGATAGTCATAATCCAAGTCAGACTCTGTTGTGACAGACTCAAGCGAACTCAGAGACCCAGCCAATGATCCTCTACCCTCATAGCCATAGATCTGAATGGAGTCATAAGGAGGGGCAGTGGGGTCACTGTCAGCTTCTGCAATTCGAGTCTTGATGAAGTCATCAACGTCGACACTGTTAGCTGCAGGATGCCCAACGCCCGGCCTGAGGGGATATTGAAGTTCTGGTTTGATGTCCTTCCTTGGCAGGAAACCGTTGGCACCATCTGGGTTCTGGTAAAAACACAGAGCATTCAAATAAAGATGGCGTTATAAGGCTGGCAAAACGGAAAAAGTACAAATAAATTTAATTTGCTATTGAATAAAGAAACAACATGTATGAATATTGGAGAAAAAAATCGGAATGGTGACAATATTTGGTAGTAATACATAATACACTTTGGTACGTGCCCAGTAAATACCTGGCATGTACTGGGTAAGTGCAAGGTATTTACTCAGTAAGCACATAGTATGTACCTGCTAAGACCTGCTAAGTATGCACGCAATAAGAATCAGATATGTACCAGGTACTGGCCCGATAAGTATGATATAAATACCTGGTACATATTTTAATGTCCTACTCAGCAAATCAAATTGATGAAGTTTGATTTTAGAAGTACTCACAAGCCCAATCAGATGCGTGCACTACTCCAGTAAACAAAATTGTCAGACATAGATAAACCAAGCCACTTTGTCTTTCGTTTTTCTTTGTCACTTTTCACCGTTCATCCAATTTCCTTTGTTCTAGTTTTCTTTGTTGTTAGATAAAATTGCTCTGTTTAGCTTGCTGGCCAGAAACACTGGTTTGATTCAGACACAGCTAGAAGAGCAAAAGTCACTCATAACTTCTCAAGTAACTCGGGCTTTTGTAAATAGTTCTGCTAGCCAAGACCTCCAGACATCTCCACCAAGATCCAGCTAGTGGGCTCGCTACCAAGAAAACCTGCAGTTACTGCACCTGCTGTACATTTAGGACTAGATTAGAAAAATCCCAGCCAAAGCTAAGAGGTACTCAGAGGAACACTATCCTTTGAGACACTCTTCAATGCTTCAAGCTCCCACTCAGTACTCCCCGGTACCTGCTGCACATTCATGGACATCTCCCTAAAACCTAAAACCTCCACATCCTAAGCTGGTGTTTCTTCTGGTGCCTAATGAGTCAAGAAATAAGTCCTTGATCCAGCAATTACTCAGAAAATAATAACTTATTTAGGGTAATTTACAGTGATGGAATTGCGAACCGTCCAGTGTGTACCCCACCCCTCGCACAGTGATTGCTGGACATGGGCACCGGCGACCCCCGTAACCCAAAATGGAAGAAGCAGGTAAAATATAATGGATGGATGGATAATTTATTGAGACAATCATATAAACAATTGATTTATAGTTTTTCCTTCTTTGGTGGTGGTGGTGCTCTGAGGATAGATACTTTATGAATTATTAATAATTCATATCCATTTTATTACATGTACCACAGTAATAAGTACCAGGTATGTTCCTGGTAAGAACCAGGTATCAGTTAAGAACCTGACACCTACCAAAAAAGTGTCAGATATGTATCAAAAGCCACTCACAATTCCCATGAAAAGATCCTGGAGAGATTTCCAGACATTTACTGGGGATTTTAGCCAATTGGCAACCTTAATACCCATCAAATTTTAGATATGTACCAGGTAAGAATCAGGTATGTAGCCTGTAAGTAGAAGTAAGTATGTGGTACATATCTTGTATGTACCTGGTATATATTTAGTTGTAATATATATTAATGTTTAAAAATTTCAGAGTTTTGTTTAATTGAACAAGTCTTTAACAATATAATGTTAACAAAGCAATAACATCAACATGTGAAGTTTAGTCTGTTTTCTACTAATCACCACTTCCTTCAAAAACAAGATTACTTTTATCACTTTGTGCCTTTTTTACCTGCAGCGTTGCAATGTCGAAGGCTTCAGTATCCTCCTCTCCACCTCCTTCATCATCATAAGTAATGATATTCTCCCGGATATCTTCCTCTTCAAACACTATCAGGGGTTCTTTCTTCTGTCGTCTCAGTGCAACAAACAGCACAACTATTGCTACCAAAGAGAAACACACAAACATTGTTTAAAACTGGTCTGGCATTTAATCAGTACATCACACTCTTCTATACAATGATGAAAAGTGGAAACCATTTAATATTTGTGTGGTTTTTGGAACTCTTAAAGTGTAATTTTGGATTTAATTTAGTCTTAGTGTCATATTCTGTTTTTTGGTATAAATCTTTTTTTTTCATGCTTATTTCTTGTGTTCATTTTTTTGTGTCTCTAGTCAGCTTCCATTCCTTGGTCCTGCCCATCCCTATCTCACCTGTTCCCTGTTGTCATTAAGCCCCGGTGTCAGCCCCTGTCCATATAGGTTCTCAACCCTCACTTCTCTACAGTCTGGTACTGTTTCATGCCCTGTCTGGGTCTCGTCTGTGTATCTTGGAGTTATTTTATTTTATGTATTTTGCTTCCATGCCACCTTTTAAAAAAACATATTATTTGTGTAGTAATTTATTATTTTAGTGTTTATTTAAACTTCTCATGTTGTTCTGCTTTGTTGGGTCCATTTACCTTTTAAATAGTGAAACTCAGATTGTGAGTTACTGTATGTCATGATGGTACTGTACTGAGCAGGCACAGTATTTTTTTGTGACAGTGTTTACCAAAGTTGTCAGGTTAGCACAGCATAAACTAAATGTGGAGAATTACTTGATGATTTGTGATTGTTTTACTGTTTTTGAAGCATGCTGTATATAAGTTTAACATCCATATATGCAATTATAGTTAGACCATCAAATTAGATAATATACCCTGAACCACTCTGTCATTAGATTTGTGCAGAACAAAGACCTGAGGGTGTATTATGATGCAAGTTCAACATAGCTGGGCTTTCTTGTGTGAGCTACATGAACATATTCAAAACAGGATTTTGAGGTAATAGATTCTATAACTGTCAATACGATCTTATTTGTTAACCAGTCTTTCCTCTTTAGGTTGTGTGGTTGTGTATAAACAGGCATGCACATTATTTGATGTTGACCCAAATAAACTCTGCCTCTTCTTTAAAAAAATGCTGCATGAATGTCGTGGCCAGAAGAACACAGGCATCTCTGTAGGAATTAAAAAGTGGAATTATTTTAAAAAGTGCATGTATTCCACCACAATAAAGCTCACATGTGATCTGTTAGAGCTCAGGGTATGTGCCTGGCATGACTTTCAGCTACTACCAGACAAATATTAGCTCAGTATCTGTAAGATATGACTGAATATAAACATTTTTTGTGTTTGCAAATGTTGTAGATGCACATCCAACAGTTATTTTCAGCAGTTTCTTTGAAATAAGTCCTGAAGTTCATGCTGAGAAATATTATTAATTTGTGTTACATTCAAATCTGTTTTTGAAGTAGTTCACAAATTTTCTTTGCTAATGAATTAGCTTAGCTAAAGATATTTTGGCTGAGGTTACTGTCTACATTATAAAGCTTCAGACATGAGAATGCTTTTTGTTTCTCACCCAGAAGGATGACGATGCAGGCCAGTATAGCAATCAGAGCGCCGGTGCTGAGGCCAGCAGGCAGGATGTAGGGTTCCACGTTGCAAGACAGGATGGTGTGTTTACTGTCGCAGGAACAAACTCGGATGGTCAGCGTGTTGGTGCTGCTCATGGATGGGAAGCCATTGTCATTTATCTCAATGGGAAGTAGGTAAATATCCTGAGTTAGACGGCTGAATCCTTTCCGGAGCACATAGATGCTGGCCGTGCTGTCTGTAGAAACACAAACAAACAAACAAGACGTGAAATAATGGATCATTCTGAGGTCAGGACTTTTACCACAGATATGATCTTGTCAGAACATACTGTATACTTCTAAGAAAGCAAGTAAATAAAATCTAGAAACATGTCTACATTGGTTTTACACACTATTTTAATTTTTATTTATTGTGTAAATGCTGACTCAACATTTATGCAACTTGTTTCCTGTTTATTGTTTCCTACGTATATTATTTGAACTGTAACGACTTTAAAATATGTTCAGCTGTTTTGAACATCCAGGCCATTCGTTCAGCTGGTTCAGTACATTTTGGCTTTTAGTTACTGTTTTAATAAAATTAAGATAAGATAAGATAAGATAAGATAAGATAAGATAGAATTTTATTGATCCCGCAGGAAATTGTTGTGCCAGAGTTTCAGTACAAAGGAACGTACATGAGGAATCACAAGATATAAATACAAAGAAAAAACAGACGTAAGACCAAGAAAAAGGTTTAATAAATAAATAAATATTAACAATTAATTAATTGAAAAATTATCTTTTAATCATAACTAAGTTAGCTATTAGCATTTCTCTTGTTAATTTAAACTTTTTGCAAGTTATGTTGCTTTTTGTAACTGTTTTGCTCATTTTAGCTGTTATCTCCTGTTGTAATCAATTTAGCTTTTAAATATAATTTTCTTAAGTTTTAGCTGATATCTATTTTTCTGCAAAAGTTTCCTTTTTATTTTCTATCTGGTTAATTTAAACTTTTTGCTACAATTATATTGCTTTTATCAACAGCTTTTCTTGTTTTAGCTTTTAGCTACCAATTAACTAAATTTAGATTTTAGCTGCCTTTTAGCTAATGCTATGTTTTGCTTAGTTTTGGCTTACTGTTAACCTTTAAATATTCTCTGAATCATTGAATCCCTTTACAACCTTTTTGCTAATGTAACACTTCAGCTTTTTGTGATAATTTTATATTTTGGCTACTGTTTTAGTAAATTTAGCATTTAATTATCATTTTGTTTTTAGATTTTTTTTTCCTCTGTTTTACTAAAGTTGGATTTTAACTTTTCTCTTGGTAATTTAAACATTTTGATAAAGTTATGTTGCTTTCATCAATAGTTTTGCTAATTTTTGCTTTTAGCTACCATTTTGCTAGTTTAAAACTTTAGCTGCTGTTTGGCTAATATGCTCCTAAGCTTGTTTGTTTGTTTTGTAGCTTGCAAATTAATGCCTTTAGCCTCTGGATAACTATTCTTTGACAATTTTTTTCCCTAATTTTACACTTTACTTTTCTTTTCTAATTTCAGATTCTAACTACTGTTGTAATTTTTTGCCTTTAGTGCTGATTGCTTTAATTTTTCCAATTAGGTTTTTGCTTCTTCATGAAGTTTCATCAGTCATTCAGCTCTCAGCATTCACACTTCATTTAACAGTAAATGTAATTTGTCTAGTTTTTTTATTTTATGTCCCACACTGACCCAGAGTCATCTGCACACACAAACGCTCAGCGAGGCGTGACTGGGGGGATATTAACTTTCTGTTTAATAGTTGCTCCACTCGTCTGTTGCAGAGTTAATGTAATCAGAGAACATTTACTGGTGTTAGAACACCAGCAGACCTCAGGTTCTGCCTCGCTGGTTCTCTCCGTTCTTTTCATTGACACTTTTCATATCCAGATGTAACAAATGGTTACTCGGACTGCTAACAAAGGATTGCATGAGGTAATATTTGAAAGGATATTTTGACAAAATAACAATTTTTAACACGGATGATACATGTGTGAAGAAGAAAACAAACTGCTTACATCAAAACTGCTTTAAAGATGAGAATGGTGAGAACCTGTGTGTTTGTGTTCTTCGTACTTTAACAAAAATGTCCTAAATGAGTTCCAATCCAAGATGGCTGCCACAGCTAAGCAGCAACAAATATTAAGGTGAAATTTGGTGCATTAGTAGCTGAAAATCAGCTTGAGCCCTGCTGATCAACGTAAGATCTGATTAAAAAAACTTTGCCTTTAATTGGAGTCAGTTTTGCCTGTCTGTTAGCAAAATATCTTGTGAACCACTGAGCAGATTTTATAGAAACTTTCACATGTACACAACTGAGTTTAAATCTACAACCGAATTACTTTTGGAGTCAATTTAATTTAAGATGGCTGCCACAGCCAACTTGTCTTTAGTTCTCATTGTAAATGGTAAAAGCTCTACTTTTTGCAGATACTCAGGTAAATTGAGTTGTGGTAGTAGCTGAGAATCTTTACCAAACTCAAACCTGGAGGCCTAACATCTTGGGAGATCTATTTCCATACGTCTATGTTTATACACCCACCCTTGTTTGTCCAGGCCATGACTTCTGATGCGCTTAAGATAATTTTATGAACTAGACAAATCATTCATTTATCTTAAGTGCATCAGAAGTCATGGCCTGGACAAGCAACCAAGAGTGTATAAAAATGAAAAAGTTTATATTTTCAGTGATTTATGAACTAACACGACATTATACTCACAGATGAAATGTAAAGTAATGCCACGTTCTTTGCAGTGCTCACTTCAATAAATCAAAGACAAGTGTAGGTGTTTTATTCTGTTACTTATGGTCTGCTGCCTTCCAGTACACTAGAAGACAGTTCACGTAGCATTTTCTCTGAACAACAGTACAAATTTGTCTCTCCAGCATCAACTGTGCACTGAATTGCCTTTTCAGTGTTTCTGTTTCAGTGGTTGAAGCCACAAAGGACGAGCACATCCCAGTGACTGGCTCCAGTCCAAGCTTCATGCCCCACCCCTCCATGTCAACCAGCGGGACAGTGTCCTGACTTTTTGTTTTCTTTCAGCTGTTCCCTTCTTCAGGGGTCGCCACAGTGAACTAACTCGCTGAAAGACTTGACGTTTGTTTTTACGCCGGATGCCCTTCCTGACACAACCACCGAGCTACCACAGCCCTCTGTGTGGAGCAGAGCTGCTATCTAGGGTGCTCGGGGGAGAATATGGTGGGGGTTAAGAGCCTTGCTCAAGGGCCCAGAGTGGAGCAAATGGGGCAGGGGTGGGTGCTTCACCTATCCCACCCACATTTTGATGTTGTCGGTCTGGGGAGTTGACCCGGTGACCTTCCAATCACATGCTCACCTTCTCTAACCTCTGCGCCACCACGCTCCTCAATTTGCCTGATTAAAAATAAACGATAACTCCAACTATATATTTTGTATCAGGTGTTGGTGTCTCTTTATTCAGGTAGTTATGACTTTGCTGCTGTATGTTCAAATATGAATATAGTTTCAATATATTTAGTTTTAATGAGTTACTTGAGGCTCAAAGGAGGTCATTAAAGACTGTTGGGGAGTTGGGAAGCAGACAAAAGCAGACAGCTTTGATTTTGAAGTGTAAAAACTTGTTTTGTCCATCTTTTTTTAACGTCAGTGGTCGATGCAAGTAAAGTTTATCTTGAGCGAAAAGACACATTTTTTAACTTTTTAAATTTTCACTCAATAAGATAATCCAGCTTCACATCCTCTGAAAAATAAAACACTTGTGAGGTGTCTGCTCCCTGTAATCTGTGGGTGCACACGTGTGTGTTTGCTCTCACTGACTGACTGTTCAATCCAGTTCTGTTGCGTTTTGGCTATGAGCTCCAGTTTTCTGTCTACATCAGAAGTTATAAAACGTAGTACTCAAAAGTCCAATACTGATTTATACAAAAAGGTCAAAGGGCTTCTATATTAGCTTGCTGATTATTTCATGCTGCTGATCTCATGCTGCTGATCTCATGCTGCTGATTATTTCATGCTGCTGATCTCATGCTGCTGATTATTTCATGCTGCTGTATTAATTTGTACTCACACAGACTCATGTTCATGCTGCTGTTGTTCAGTGCATTGTTTTGCACTAGTAAGTGTTTAGCGTATTTCTTAGTTTACATCTTAGATCCTTAGTACTGTCTCTTTTACAATTTACATTTTTGCTGTTACTGGATGCAACTGGGACCCTGTGTACACAATTTCGTTCCACCTCATGTACCACATGTGATGCGAATGGCAATAAAGAACCTTGAACTTGAACTTGTAAACCTAAGCTGCTCTAAAATGTGACAGTAGAGCACAACTTTTTACAGGCACAAGTTCAAACATTCAATTAACTGAAGCTAAACGCAACAAGACACTGTTAGATCAGAACGACTGAGGTGAAAATGATGCAGGTAGATGTCCTGAGACACTTAACTTTCAGACTAGCTACATGCTAAAGTCGCCAAGCTCGCCTCCATGAAGCCGCATCGACCTTGGAACCAAAGCTGATGTCCGACGGAGTTACTGTGGCAGCAGAATGAGTCTTGTACATGTTCATCCATCTTGGATTTGTTTTTTAATCTACCTTGCTTTTCTTTGCACGTTAAGATAACTCCACACGGTGATGTGACAGACCTCCTCTGAGCCAAATCGAGGCCAAACCTGCAGCTAGCTACAAGGCTAGCCTCCTTTCTTTAACCAGCTGAGATAAAAAAATACTCAGATTGTTTGTACCTTGAAGAGTGGCAACATTTATTATTGCCACCACAGTCTGCACTTTGTCAAAGTCTGTTTTTCTGTTTATTTATTTAGTTCCTTGAGTTAGTCTAACTCTAATTTTCTTTGTGGTTTATGTTTTAGTCTTCTGTTTTTTAGGTTCTGTTCCTTGTCAGACTTGCAACCTTGGTTGTGTTTATTTAGTGTTCTTGTGTAGGTCTTATTTCTGTTTCCCAGTTCTCTTTGTTCCATTTCCCAGTTACTCTCAGTCAGTTTCCTCCAGATTTTTTTTTTCTTCCCCCAATTGGTGTACCACCCTCACCTGTCCCCAATCAACAATCATCCCAGGAGTTTCCATTTCCCACTTACCTCAGTTCTATTTATTCAGTCTCTGATCTGCTGTTCACCAGTTCAGCGTTATTTGGCCTCTCTGCCTCAGAGGTTTGTGATCACTTGAGTTTTTTCTGTTTGTTTTTGCTGCCACATCAGCCTTTTTACATTTACCTGTAAGTTCCTCACTTCAGTCTGCGCCGGGGTCCAATCCTCCACAAAAACCTTCCATGCTTCGTGCTTAAAGTTCAGCCTTTTACACCTCATTTTTCTCTGTCTCAGTTACGTGATGCGGTTCTGACTCCGGGCATACAGGCCCATTCTCTCCCCCCGTTCTCTCTCTCTCTCTTGTAAATGAGCCGCACCGCTCTTCGTTTCATTGCACCAATGCATTTCAATGCAGTAATGCAAAGCAATATATCATGTCAGCTTGAACCAGATTGATGTTGTTTGGTCCAAAGCTGGATCGCAGTCCAGACTTCGAGAACTAGAGCAATATTTCAAAGGAGGAAATTTGGATTCAGATTTCTGACGTTGCCTCGTGTTGATCAAATGAAACATCAACGTGATTCAAAGTTATTTATATAATTATAAAATTGTCTCTTCGCATTTTCTTCTTTTCTCATCTTTCCTGTTAAGTCTCTGCCACTCCTCACAAATCCAATCAGCTGCCTTCCCTCAAGATACGTGTACAGATGGACAGAGACCCCGCTGCAATCAGTGCAGCTCGCAGGACGTGTGTGCATTCATGAGGAGGTGAGGGACAGACTCACAGCACCCACTGACTCCTACAAGGTGGTGTAAGCCTCCATCTGCTTGTGCTTTGATCTAATCTGAGGGAAACGGGGAGCGGAGGAAGACATTCGATGAAGAAGCTGAAAAAGAAAAGAGAGAATTAAAAGAAAGGGGGTTGTACCTCTGTTGTCTTTGAGGGAGAAGTTTTGGTTGTGGGCGACTTCTTGAGCGAGGCTGAATGTGAAGTGTTGCCTGTGAGCCATCTCGTCTTTGTCCACTGCACTGACGGTTTCAATAACCTTAATGCAACGCACGGAAGCTCACGTTAGAAGGCCGCACATCAATATGAAACAGTGTCTGGGTGTTTGTGATGTTTAGTTTCCCGTGCTGACATGTGTTTACAGCACGTCTCATGCAGACAGCCGTACCTTCCCCGGCGCTACGGCTTCACACATGAAGACTTCGTTGTTGCTGGCGAACTCTGGGGGGTTGTCATTCACGTCTTTCACTTTGATGTTAACGCGCACTTTTGTGTCTTGGTGGTGGCCTCCTGCGTGCACAGAGTGAAACCATCAGCATTCTGCTGCTTACACACACACAAGGCGGCGTCAAAGTCATTACCGTCAGGCTGTCTCTTGTTGTGGGCTGGGTTTGTGATTGCTTGTCTGCTTTTATCATTCATTTTTGTCACTGAGTGAAAAAACACTTTCCTAACAAGACTGCCAGTCAGTCAGCCACTCAGCCTGCTATTTGTTATTTTGATTTGCAGAAATTACACGAGTTGCTGAAACTGAAAAAAAAAAAAAGTCAACCAGCCTGCCACTCAATTAGAACCATCGTTGTTTAATACAAAGAACATTCTGATAAACCAAAGTGACAAATGCACTCACTGGAGATGAAAAAGAAAGAAAAATAAATTCTGCTGTATTTCTGCATATTTGCAGTTCTAGTCAATGTGATTTTTTTTCCCACCACCCTGTCATTACCAGACATTTATTCAGCTTCCCAGGGTTTAAAAGTGGTTAGCATGGTCTGCAATGCTTCTAGCTTTGTGGGCGGAAAGCCCATTCCCATCTGTCCATCTGGCGTCTATCACGCCGCAGAGAAACCACGCGGTGCTTCACTACAGCTGGAGCCCAGACCACAGAATACCAGGGTGGGGCCACTGTGGCCTGTGAAGAGGTTCTGAAGACAGAGCCGGGGAGAGAGAACTCAGGATGGCCTGTGGTTGGCTGCTTTTTCTTTTTCCTGTTCGGATTTGGAGATTTTCCTTGTATTTGAATTTATTTTTTCACTTTTCCATCATGTCATCACATTTATTCTGTGCTGCTTTTAGCCTCTACGTGTGAAGCTTTGGGTATCTTTGATATGTGTCCAGAGTTTTGTTTGACGCTACATCCTTTAGTCAATTAGCCAACAGCTACACTAAAACTAGCCATTTTTATTCTAACAACAAAGACGGGAGCAGCTGAGCAGCTGCTTACGCTTCAGACTCGTCTTTCATTTGATCAATTTCAATATAGTTCTCCGATAAAGGCAAAAGGGCAATTCTGTTTTGTCTGTGTGTCCACTTGTCTTTAGAGTCTTTATCTTTGTCTCACTGGACAGATGTTAAAGAAACTTCCAGAAAATAATTAGAGTACATCTATCATAGCCTTCCTTTATAAGATGGACGCCCCAGCTAAGTGACCAATACAACATTTCCTTTAATTCAGTCATGTTTACAGAAACTGAGCTGAAATTAGTTGTGGTGGTACCTGAAAGTAATTCTCAACATAGTGATCACAAGATGTTTCTTTTTAATTTTTTTATTTGCTATAAACGATTGAAGGCAACTGTGTCGGTCTGTTAGCAAAATATCTCATGAACCACTGGACAGACTTTGATGAAACTTTGAGGAAACATCTGTTGAGTGTAAAACATCTACAACTGATTAACTTTTAGTGTCAGCCCAACCTAATATGGCTGCCTAAGACATCTGACTTTAGGAAACACAAAAAAGGTTACATGTCGGCAGTTTTACAGATACTGAGCTAAATGTGGTGTGTTAGTAGCAGAGTGCCCCCCCCCCCCCCAACACACACACACACACACATAATTTCAAAGTGCTAACACATCGCCTGCAGTTAGTCTAGAACACTGCTGCACGTCTACCAGTCTCCAGAAGGCATGACCTCAGCACACTGTTAGAGCTGATTTTACACAGGCTGCCTGTTCAATTTCAATTTAATTTGAAATTATTTTACTTACTTTAGTTTTAAATGGCTTGGCACCCAATTCTTTATAGTAACGTTTGG